GGCTGGCACGGGTGGATGAGGGGTTTGAGATTAGGGAGAAGGAGGATCAGGCTCAAAGTGTGCCAGGGGTGGGGACGGGCGGGGGGAGGCGCTGGCCTGTGCCAGCAGGGATCTGCGGCTGATGTATGGCATGTGGGGCTGGAAAGCTGCCATCATAGCCCAGTAGAGGCAGGAAAAATGGAGAAGTCCGGTGGTGTTGGCCCGAGTCTCAGTGGATCAGGAGTGACCCTCGGAGGCCTTGCCCGTTCTGCTCCCACGGGCCTGCCTTGGCCAGGTTGGCAGGGTCTGCAGGAACAGCTGGGCAGACTCCCAGGCTGTGAAGGCCTCCGCTTAGAAGTTCTCCTAGGCGGGCCCCCGCCCCCTCCTCCTTCTCCTGGCTTCTCAGGTCTGCTCATCCACACCTCTGGCGCAGGCAGAGTTGGACTTTCTCTGCTACTGTTTTCTGTTGCCCATGTGGCTCAGGCTTTATTTTCCATCGTGATGTTCTCAGTCGTGTTGCCTGCTCAGCGGGCAGCACAGCCTTCTCTTAACCTCCAGGACTAGCTAGCAGACATCCTTCTGGCTGTTTCTCCGAGATCCTACTAGGTCTGTTAATAGTGATAAGGACGAAATAGAGTAACTTCTGCCCAATGCTGTAAGTTCAGCTCTGACATCTTACTGGCAGGATGTGTTGACTGCATCTCTCATCTTCATGATGTTGGTGCTGCACAGGAATGCAGGTGATAAGAAACAAAACATAGAAATCTGTAGATCTGTGTAGCTGGGGATGGAGGTCTCCCATGTCAAAAGTGAAAGAAATGTCAGTTTAAGAATTTTTTCTTCTTGTCCCTGAGTCTAGTACTTACTTCTCAGGAAGATAAATTTAAACCAAATTGTCCCCATACTGAAGTATTTGGTGTTAGCTTGTCTTATGCTTATTCATGTTGGGGTTTCACTTAGTCCCGTCTGAGGCTGAATTTGGTGCTTGTGGTGTGACTCTGAGCGTGTAATCACTGAATTGTGATAGATGTCCTGGACTGCCACAGAAGTTGGTATGCTTACCCAGTTTACTGATTCTGGGTAGTGTAACAAGGCTTTGAGTAAGTTGCAAAGAATGTGGAACAGCTCACTGGAAGTTTTGCTGCCTTCATCTTTCTAGATCAATGCCTTTTGCTTGTGGAAGCTTTCCTACTCCTGGCTCTCCAACTATTACCACCATCCCCGTCCTTCAAAAGACACATTTTAGTTTAGTGCTTGGGAGCATATCTACTTTACTTTAATGAGAAGAATCTTGCAGTGTTCTTTCTTTCTTTCTTTTTTTCTTTCTTTCTTTCTTTCTTTTTCTTGCAGTGTCTTAGAAGGGAAAAACATTTGGTGATAATAGCAGTTTCCGTCTCTGACATTGTTTTGTGGAATATTGTTGACTGCCCTTTAATGTTGGTTTTATGTTCTGAAATGTTTTATGATGACAAGTGGAGACCAGTTAAGAATTTTTAATTTTTTATTCTGCTAAGTATTTTATCTGAGATCCTCTGGGGAGCCATGGAACTGTATTGTGCAATGGGAAATAGATAGTAAAAACATTTATTGAACCTTGTCCAAGGGCAGCTTCTGTTTTAGATTTCGGTGAGTTGCTCCTGAATATGCACAGAGCACATTGCCAATCTCATCCACTTAGACCTGATGGTAATTGTCAGATAACCCCATAGGGTGACTGGCTTCTCTATTTCCAGTCCCCCGTGCCCCCACATCATACCTTGTTTGTTTTAGTGAGTGTTTAAGAGTTGAATATAGAGATCATGAAAGATTTGGGGTCAGAAATATAGCCTGCTTCTAGGTTATAGTCATCTCATGATTAAAATAGCATGTGTAGTACAGTTCTTAAAAAGATAAATTTAGGACTGCAATCACTGCTAAAGGAAAGGTCCTCACACATCACGAATTATCAA